GGTTTAATAACCAGAATCCACACAGAACTCAAGTGTATTAGCAAGAAATGAACAAGTGATCCCAGCTCAGGGTGGGCAAGGGACTTGAAGAGAAACTTCTCTGAAGAAGACAGGTGCACAACCTACAGACATATGAAAAAAACGCTCATCATCCTTAATCATCAGAGAAATGCAGATGAAAAACTACTTTGAGATATCATCTAACTTTAGTAAGGTTATCCCACATCACAAAATCCCCAAACCAGAGATGTTGGTGTGGAAGTGGAGAGAAGGGAACACTTCTACACTGCTGGTGGGATGCAAACTAATATATTCCTTTTGGAAAGATGTTTGGAGAACATTTAGAGATGTAAAAATAAACCTGTCATTCAATCCTATAATTCCTCTACTAGAAATTAGGTCCAGAAGACCAAAAATCACACCATAACAAAGATTTGTACTAGAATGTTTGCTGCAGCCCAATTCATAATTGCTAAGTCATGGAAGAAGCCCAAGTGTCCATCGATCTATGAATGGATCAATAAATTGTAGTATATGTACACCATGGAATATTATGCAGCCTTAAAGAAAGATGGATACTTTATCTCTTCCATGTTTACATGGATAGAGCTGGAACATACTCTTCTTAGCAAAGTTTGTCAAGAATGAAAGAAAAAGTATCCAATGTACTCAGCCCTACTATGAAACCAATTTATAGCTTTCTTATGAAAGCAATAATGCAATCATAGCCCGAGAGGGAGGAGAGGGGAGGATGGAGGGTAATTAGGGGAACCACACCTACCATGTATCTTACAAGGGTACATGTGAAATTTACTAGGTATAGAATATAAATATCTTAACCCAATAACTAAGAAAATGCCCTGAAGGCTATGTTAACCAGTTTGATGAAAATATTTGAAATGGTATATAAAACCAGCACATTGTACCCCATGATTGCATTAATGTACATGGCTATGATTTAATATAAAAAAGAAAAAGAAAAAAGTTTCTAACTGTTAGTAATCATTTAGAGCTCTATAGTTAAAACAAACTAAGAAGAACCTCCTTAATAACACATATGAAGAGTACAGAAGTTTTAACTAGGCATTTTATTGAGACCTACCTGAGAGTGGGGTCTTTCCTATGTGAAATTCAACTGGCGAGAAAGCAGGTGAAGAAATTGGTGAAGGGCTAGTTATACTTCCCACACTGTATTTTTTTGCATTAGCCTTAATAGGGCTAGAAGAAAACTGCCCCTATGATAAAAATAAATAAATACATGTATATGTTTCTTTTACTCAATTCAGTTTTTCACAGATTTATGAACTAGGAATTATTCATAAGAACTACCAAAAGGCAACCTGTAACAAAGATTACTGAGAAGAACTCTATAAAATAAAGTTGGAAGTAGAATGTTAGTCCAAATATAAATTCACTGGGTTTAAATAAATCATTAAATTTCATACCAAGCAGCTGTTTGTCAACATTTTTTAAATAGTTTACTACATTAATGCCAATCCAGTTGTGTTATACTGTAAATCTTACATTAATTAAGCAAATAACTTACATTAAGATTCCTTCAGATTCATAAATTTGGTTATCCCATATACCTTTACATATAAAATTGGAAAGAGTATGCTCCCCAAACATGCCTATGACTAATGAGAGTAGATGAACTAGGAGAGTCTCCATGGAGTATAAACCCAAAAGATAACTGAGTGCAAAATGAACATGCAGGTCCAGACACATCTACAGAAAACTAACCAGCCACTTTTTAGTATACTTCTTACCGAACCTGGTGTCTGTACAGGGCTCCTACACTGTACAGGAGATAAATCTATTGAATAAAAAACTTCAACTGAGGCCTGAGCACCGCTATGAGGACTTCTGGGAGAAGCTGAAGGTAAAGAGTCAGAGATGCTTCTGTTTCCATCAAAAAAGAGCTTTCTTCTGAGAGATGAAGAGCTGAGGTTTCCAGGAGACTGATCTGCAAATTCATCAGCTCTAAAATAGTCACCTATAGTTAATAACAGAATAAAATATAAAGCTAGCTATTGTACAGAATTATATTTCTGTTACCTGCCTTTTTCAAAACCAGCATGTAGTATAAGTTTGCATTTCTTTCAAAAAAGAGCAAAATTTAATTGCATATGTAATGTTTTAAATCCTAAATTATTCCTTTTTACTTTGTTTTAGAAACAGGGTCTCGCTCTGTTGCCCAGGATAAAACGCAGTAAGTGTACTGATTATAGCTCACTGTAGCCTTCTGGGCTCAAGCGATCCTCCTACCTCAAGCTCTTGAGTAACTGGGACAAAAAGTGTGCACCGCCATGCCTGGCTATTCCTTATTTTTTGAGTGCCTCTTTATTAGTATAGCTAATACTAATAAATGTCTACAGTGTATGTCTATAGTAAAATTTATTACAATAGAAAGGCTAATTCAAACCATGTTCAATAAAAAGAGAAATTTCTGGACAGTTTCTCCATTTCTTTAGGAAGAGGAATTGCACACATTACCACTTACAAAAAGCCAGCAAAATAAAACTTTTAAGTTATTAAAGGTTTAAACAAGTATAATATTTACCTAATATTTTCTCTAAATTAAAATCCACAGGAAGAGACAGCAATGTCTGACAAGCAGCTGGAAGCAAACAAATAAGTAAATACAAACATGGATAAATTAGTGAAAGCACATGACATGCCATTTAGCAAGTGCTTCCCACTCAACCATCTCCCCAGGCTGTTCCAGCCAAACAGAATTATTCTACAGGGTGTTCCCAAAGTCTCCATGCATAGTCACAGATACTTTGGATTGTGTTCATCATGAATAGAAAGGTGGCCAACACACAGAGGATACTTTGCAAAGATTTGGTAAAATGTTGTAATGAATATTCTGTAAATAAAAGTACAGTTAGCTATAATTTCCCATTTTCCCTATGTATGACAACTTTTGGGACACTCCCTATTTCTGCATGCCATCCCAATACCATGCCACCTTCCTCTAAGCCAGTGGTTCTCAACCTTCCTAATGCCACGGCCCTTTAATATCACTGCTAAGCAGTTTCCCACACTTTCCACCACTGATATAAATGTGTTTTTTTTTAATTAAGATATAAATATGTTAATGGAAAAAGCTAATTCCTGCCTATAGGCAGGGCACTTGAATTAAGACACCAGCCTGTATTTGAGGGGAGATTTCCCATATTAACTTTCAGAAGAACTCTTTTCAAAATCAGGAAATCAACTTATATATTTTGAACAAGAAAACAACCTATTAATGCTATTCTTAAAACATGGCTGGATGTATCTGTTCTACCATATTTGTTTCTAAAAGTCAGCTCTCTGAGAATGATTTAGCTCATTCATAACAAGTAAACAA